AATCACCTTGGAACCTGTTTCTCTCAGTTGGCGTGCTTACCGCGACGAGAGCATAACAAGCTCAAAACCGTCCAGAGAAGTTTTCCAACAACTCTTCCACTGCCTTTAAAATAAAAGGACTGAAAGGAGCATTATTTGGAAGCGAGAATTAACATTCCAAGTATATCCCTAGAATCAAACAAGAATGTTATGTCTAGGATGCATATTGAGAATCATATATGTAGTATGTAGATATATTCTAAGAATATTTCAAGCATATTGGTATAATATTCTTTTGAGAACATAACTATAATGTCATAGAAACATTGTTTGAATGTGACATTTGAAGCATATTTTTAGAATCCAACAGGATGTACAGAGAATCTCATAGGTATATTCTATGAATATCCTAATGAATTTCCTAGGAAGTTCTTGGGTATTGCAAACAGTATTTCTACAATCTTTTGTCAGAACATTCGCAATGGTTTTGGCGAAGATTCTAGGCACATCACGTGCCTAAGAAAAACTGACAAGCCGAATCTTAGCTTAAGACCCATTGAAAGTTGTATTAACTCATCCATCTTATAATCTTGCTGTCTTTGTTCACCAGATATTCAACCTACTTACATCGACGAACTCATATGAGTTAGTTGATGTCGCAAGCACTGTGAATAGCTTCCGAAGAACTGCGCCGGTTTCATTGGATGTGGTATCTTTATTTACTAATATGTATACCAAAAAAACTAGTATTCGATATTATCAATAAGAAATGGGGTTTTATTAGCACTTATACATATATCTATGGTTTATTTTTTTCCAAGATAGATTTTGGCATTGTCAACTTTGAAACATAAACAACGCCGCTAATGCCGCTTATTGGTCGCTATTGTAAAACTGATGTCAACCTGCAGAAACACCTCATTTTGCGACTAATCAGGGTCAAGTGTTATTGTTTATGTTTCAAAGTTTTCAATGTCAAAATCTATCTTGGGAAAAAATAAAGTATATCTCTCGAAATTATTTTTGTAGTACGATGGCTATGTTCAAAGTTCATCGTTTCAACTGAATTTTGAACCTCTTATACTTAGATAATAACACTTAGCCCTCGCCTTGCCGAAAGTGGGTCAGCGATGATCCGAAATCTGATTTTACAGGAATATCTTGCGGCCCCGCGACTTTTTTCAGAGATCCTCTGTGAATTCTCCCCTAATTTATTTCAGGAATATTGCCTTTTGTAGAATTTTCTCAAAAAAATAATTTTTCCCCAGAAAACTTCCTATATGGGTCACCAATGACCCGGTTTTGGGATATATCGGTATACGCTGAAACCCTCCAACTCGACAAGTAGTAGTAGCAAGCTTTTTTTACGTGTATTCGGAATTTCTAGCTTTTTCCTTCAGTTTACTATCTACTTATCTTATGAAGAAAGAGTTTATTCTGTTGTTTTTTTTACCCAGAGCTGTCAAAGATACTTTTGAAAAGTATCTAGTTACAAGATAAGTTACTTTTGGAAAAAGTATCTGAAGTTACTTCGGGTATTTAGTTACTCATTGAAAAAAGGATCTTAAATACGTATCTAAGTTACTTTTTAAGATACTTAATAAGATACTTATTAAGATACCTTATTATTATTTCCAAATAGTGAGTGGAAAAACCGATTAAGCTATGGGTGTATATTTGTTCTACAGGTTTCGGGTTCAATTTGAAAATTTTAAAACAAAAATTGTTTTAGTTCAAAAATCCCAAATTCGAGAAGGGTCAAAATCACAAGACACTAGAAAGTTATCACAGTTACAATCACAAATCATAGTTAAATTTTTATAGAATAGGTATAATGGACAAATCGCGACGTGAGCTTTTACAGTTAACAGCTGTCATTCAACCCTTTTTTTAAATGAGTTTATACTAACTGCACTTATTAAAAAAAAAGTATAATCTGTATTTAAACTCTTATGCCCGTATAACATTTGTGTATTTTTCTGTGTATTTATTCATGTAGTTCAGGGTGACAACCGAAAAATTTCAAACGCAACATAAATCCGCATTATGAAAAAAACAAAATAATGTTGGCACCCTGAACTACATGAATAAATACACGGAAAAATACACAGATGTAATACGCGCATTACCACTGTCTACAGTCTGCAAATAAATCAATAATTGTATTTTCTAAAAAAAACTAATTTTCCAAAAACCAAAAAAATTTATTTGAAAATCAGGGTCATGGCTTCACAACTAACGTAACACGAAATTATTAAATAAATGGTATCAATCAAGACAACACAAGCAAAAATAAAATGCATAATTGCATAAATAAAGAAAACAAAACACCTACATTTTTAAGAGCTTAGTGTGTATTTGTTATCTGTGTTTTATATTTTATGACACTTATGAAAGTCTATACTCTATACAAACCATAGCTAAATAAGTGGTATGACTATGACGATAATCGTGTTGGTTTTCTTGTCTGCTACCTTATGATTAAAATTGATCTGATTCCTATCCAAAGGCAGTACACTATTTGCTTGCTTTGCCTTGCTAGTATAGTGATAGTCTTGTTGCTTTGTCTAGAGCTAGACGGTAAAACTGTCTCCACAGAGCGGTGGGTGAGTACAAATGAATAATACATAAAACGTAAGCTTGATTCTGTTTGAAGTAGTTTGAACCAGTCCCATCTTGTTGTGTGGGGTTTGGTGAACGTCTGAAGGAACTTTTTTCACGGTAAATTTAATACTTTTCGTTAACTTAGATAGGTCAATTTCAGTATCTAAGATACTTTCCAGGATCTAAGATACTTTTCAGTATCTAAGATACTTTTCAGTATCTAAGATACTTTTCAGTATCTTAGATACTTTTCAGTATCTAAGATACTTTTAAGTTTCTCAGATACTTTTCGGTATCTAAGATACTTTTTTAAGATACAAGTTACAGATCCTTCTGAAAAGTAACTAAGATACTAGATACTATTGCCAAAAATGAAAAGTATTTAAGATACAGTATCTTAGATACTATAAAGTAACTAAGATACTGTAAAGTAACTAAGATACTTTTTTCTGACAGCTCTGTTTTTACCTAATGAAATTGAAGCATAATACAAAAACATGTTTTATTTTCAAACGTCATATAACAGTAATTTTTGTGATCATTTTGACAAGACTTTCAGCTTGAGCGGCGTATATAGGTGTTATACTCCGCCGGAGTATAAAATCTGTACGCCGTTATACCTACATGTTTTTCCATAGCGATTTAAGGTAGGTAGTTGGTATAGTTCACCTGTACATACAGGTATAGGTGCTTATAAAGGTGATCCTTCTAAATATGAATGTCATAATTTAAATTAAAAATTCTGCACTATTCGGAATAAAGATTGTTTGAAAATAAAATATTGTATTTCATTTGGAGTATAAGTATTCTTTATGCGACTTGCATGGATTTGATTCGGCTCGCTGCGCTCAGCGTTCAAACTTCCATGCGCGTCACTAAGTATTAGCGTTTATTAGGTAGGTACTTATAATCCTAATAAAATAAATATTTATTATTATGATCCCCAAAATTTTATATCCGAAATCACTCAAAAAAAAGGTTTGTATCTGGGTCCATTTTGAACTTGTCCTGGGATACCAAGTTTTAAAATTATTTTGGGACGGCGAGGGTTAAGTGCATAGAAATCGGCCCACTGCTAACTTTTAATTTCATGTATTTTTTTTAAGAAACTATTTATAGGCAAAGGTGGGCACAGTTAATCGAAAAGTTAACTTCGTTAATCGTTAATTCACTACTTGAAAAGTTAACTTTGATAATCGTTAATCGTTAAATTTTTGAGAATATAACGCAAGTTAAAGTTATTCGTTAAGAGTTAAACATCGAAAAGTTATACTGATGTTTAAAGCTAATTATAAGTAATAGATAATTGAAATAGAATAGGCTGGGCTAGAGTATAGTATTTTCAATACCTATTTGGAAGTACCAGTCGTTTTAGTGATTTGTCATTGGTTGGTAATTTTTTGTTTCATCTGATCATGATTGATGAATAGGGATGGTGTTATTCCAAATGGGTATTGAAAATACTATACTTACACTCCTACACAGGTGCATGTGAATAAAACAAAAAGTATCAAGATCTAAAAAGCGGCACTATTTTCAATTTAGGTAGCTGATTTATTTACCATTCACCTCTGCAAGAAAAAGGAGCTTATAGAACAATTCAGACAACGCCACAGCCCAACGATACGCCTCAGCTCACAGCCTACTTAACAACAGAACTAAGGGCTTGCGCATCGATTTCACTGTACGGAATCGGGTTTGGAGTTATTCCAGAACAGTTCCAAACTGCGTAGTGTAGCGAACTGAAATCTTTCTACGCCTGTGCGAACTGTCCCGATTGACCTTGACGCGCAATTTAAGCAAACAAAATGACGTCATTTACGAACGTAACGGACTAAAGTTAACGGAAGTCCAATGTAACGGAAGTTAAGAAAACCGTTAATATTTTTTTAGGTTAACTTAAAAGTTAAATTTAGGCAATTTTTTTAACTTCGTTAATTAACGGATAACGGATTAACGGTTTTCTGCCCAGCTTTGTTTATAGGATTATTATTATAATCATAATTTCAGCTCATATTAGATGATATTAAATGTTTTTCAAATGGCATATTTCTTTTTTTAATCTCATGAATAGTTTCTAAAAAAAAAAATAGTTGAAGTCAAAAGTTAGCAGTGGGCCGATTTCTATGCACTTAAGTGTAGTTAATAAAGATAGTTTTTTTATATTCACAATTTGGTTAAAATTTCGAGAAGAAAATGAAAACAGTCGGGGAAAGTTTGAGTAGGAAGTAGGTGTACACATTTCACTTAGTGTGGTTTACCCTTCGAGAATCAGTTAAACGTCTATTACAATAGTTGCGAGTACAACACAGATTTGAGATGATAATTTAATTATAATAAGGAAACCTTAAGATGTTATAGTGTCAACCAAAACAAATACCTACAGACTTAGGACATTATAAACACTATGGCCTTACCTGGCAAGCATCAGTGCCGCCTTCTGAGTACCCAGCACAAACAAAATTACTTGTAATAGGTTGAAAATAAGCCTGATTGCAATCTTCATTTCTCCACACCGGTAATTGTGCTTGTCGCTGAACTGTACTTTCTTTTCCCCCATAGAAAGTCGTACCCCATCCCACTACAGTGCTTCTTTGGCCAGAAAACTGTTCATTCCTTAATCCTGTTGGAGGCAGGCAAAGCGGAATCACATATTTTGATTTTCTAGCTGGCCTGTCTAGTTTTAGTATGGCAATATCGTTATAATAACCTACTCGGCTGAATTGCTTGTGCGCTCTGATTTCGGAAACTTTAAAGGTCACTGGCGCAGAAGGTTCATCATCTCGCTTAAGATCTATGTCTCCTAGACGCACTGTGAATTGCCTTGCTGAAAACCTAAAATATTTGTAAACAGTATAGGTTCACGATATTTCTAGTTAGAGTTAGGTCATAATAAAACTCACGGTCTTTGTCGTGAATCTCTAGTACAGTGAGCTGCTGTGAGAATATGCGTTGATGAAATCAGAGAACCACCACACCAAAATTCAGTTCGTCTAGAGCCGTGTAGGAAAATCGCTGCCATCCAAGGCCATCTACCAGGTAAGGCTTCTTCACCTCCCACTACTCGAAATTTAGCTGACTCTGGCTGGCCACATTCTAAAAATTAAATAATCAAAAAGAGCATAAAATAATTTTCACAAAAAAAACCTTCTGTGTCTATATAGTTATTATTAACTTGAGGCAAACTTGATACACTGCTGGAGATATTTATTGGAGGAAGTTTTATTAGTGTACTAGTAAGTACTGTAGAAACAGATGTAGTGATAACAGGCCTTATGGTTGATGTAGTTGTTTTTTCTGTGTTGTAATAAATTGAGGCAAACGTAACCGGATAACTTGGTGTGGTAGTTTGTATTGGACGTGAATTAGATATTGGTGCGACGGCATTTTGAACTGGATCAAGAGATGTTTTTGGACAACAAACTCCTGGCACAAAAAGGCTTTTGAAACATAATGATTGCCGTAGGTTACCCAAGTTGAGAAGGAGTTGGGGGCAGTCACTTAGGTCGGTACAATATCTGAAAGAAAAAAAAAATATAAGAAAATATATAAGTTATTTACCTATAGACCTTTAGAACAATCGAGTCTGGCTACAAAAAAAAGCTAAAACCATAAAGCCATTGCATCACTTAAGTAATTGCGAGGAACGCTCACTTTGATTGGATACCAGAATGCTAACAGCTGCTAATTACTAGTGCTCCAGTTTTAGCTCATACCATGGATGAGGGACTGTTTGCGTTAGACACCATCGACACCAACGCTCCGCAATGTGGAATAATTGCTGCATTTTTTCAAATTTAGAATGGCGAAGTGTATAGAATTTCCTAGTAAGAACCGATTACTCTCTCACACTTCGATATTCAAACTAGTCTATCCACTCCCGCCAAGCTTCAGAAATCACTTTCCTCGCCTGCCTGGCGAAATTTCTCAATTTCTATTCTGCATTTGAAAGAGTGCCACGTGATTTACGACCGGTCGCAAAAAGTCCAACTACAGGGGGACTACAAAGGTACAGGTGTACAGGATTCAACTTTCGCTGGCAGCTTAACCAAAAGTCGTTCACGAAGAGAAGCTAACCCAAACTAACCCATACGAAGTTAAGCTTGTATTGTTGATTATTATTTCTGCTGTGTCTTTGAAATTTGAGATTAATCATTCATTGTGAATTTACATTTTGGGTTAAATTAAACTTTGTCGTCTATGCAGTCGAGCTCTTCCTCGTACACAATATTTTGTAAATAAATACTACCTATATTTGACATGGACCTTCAGACAGGAATGCAGGATAAAAATGAAAGAGAAGAAATCAGTAATTTGAGGTACGGTTTGTTTGAGGTTTGTTTTCAACTTTGTTTCCATCAGTTCTGTAGACGGATCAGCAAGCATATTTGTTTGGTTCCATAATGAAAAAGCGGGGTCAGAGGGGTGATTTATCAGATAAAAAAAATATAAAAGGCTCTGTTGCCGAATTTTTTCCTGTTCGAATAATATAAAAGTATCTATTTCAAATTTTTCTGCTTATAATAGAACTAAAAATATACTTGGGACATTTTAAATCTATACCTAAAATAATTCTAAACCATCAATACCTTTTATCATCACTCAATTTGGTTTTAAATTTAAATATTGTGTGACTGGCATGTAGAAAAAAAATTTAAATGGAAACTTATATTTTAGAGAAGAAAACAGGAACAAAAAATAAGATAAGGCTGCTCATTAACGAGCTAGACATTAACACTTTCAATACAATGATGTTAGTAATAATGAACCAAATCATGTCTGATCCTGATTTAAAAGGATATGGGAAATTTTTCTGCGAATACTATGCCAACCAATCATCACAATAGGGAGTTTTCCTCACTTACAAAATGGGATTCCGGTTAACGATATTTGACAACCTTGACATTCGAATCTCGTTTGTCGTATATTGTGACCGCTAAATGCCGGTATTGTAAGGACGGTAGACATAGCCGTTAGCGGAGCGAAAAGCATGCGCAGTACACAAAAAAAAATCATAACCTTAATTCAGGTGACAAGTTGTACAGTGTATTGAAAATAATGAAAAGAAGCAGAGTTCGTTTAACAGAAGAAGGTGACCAAATTTCACTAACTTTACTAACCCCCTCAAAATACAAAATCCTGAAACTTTATGTGGACTCTCTGTATCTATTAAACTCGTTTGGAATTCTGAGTAGGTACTTCTACAACTTTGAAGATAAGGTTTTTTTCGAAGCGAAAATAAACGTCACACTCGTTTTCTGACCACACTTCTAGTTTAAACCTCTCCTAAAGATCGCCTCTGTATTTTATGTTGTTTTGCAACACTTCCAACAAGATTGCCTTTTCAAAATCAGAATCTGAATCATCCCTGGAGTCCAATAAAATCAATTCATCTATCATTGTAGCAAAATGTACAGAGAAACAGTAGTAAAATAAATCTATATGATAACCAAACAGAAACAAGAAATACAAAAACCAAATTAAAACGGGGCTGGGGGCTACGCTGTCACTTTTACTTGACTTTTTGTTGGGGTTAGATTTATAGTTTACGGTAACGGTAAGCGGGAGTCGCTTCTTGCTCCAAAAACTGTTTTTGTATATGTTTTTATCAAATAGCGGCTATGGCTACGTATTCGTTAACCGTAGCGTTGAACTTTTGGAGAGCAACGAAAACTCCCTAATGGGCTCACTGCCACCGAAAAGGATTTGGCAAAAATAGAAATATGAGCTGAGAATTGAAGTATAACTCGACAGTAGCTGGTAAATGTCAACCGAGATTAGATCGTAAAGGTTGGCTTCTGAGAGAAAAGCGTTTCGGTCTAAGGTGAAAGGGGAGGAAAAAACGATATGGAAGTACACAGTTGCAATGGAAAAGAGCGTGATAGAAATATTTCCTAATTCGCATATTTGCCGCCTTTCAACTCTCGTACGTCGGACTTGAGTGATAGTTGGTGATAGGGTATTTTTTAAAATTCACCATATTATTATAATTTACCGATGCAAACAACCGATAACTGTCAAAAATTCCGGTGGATAAATGTACGGTATCAAGTCTTGAAAGTTTTCGGAAAGCTTTGGTTAAATCTACCGGTTTTTCGGATAGCGTCGTGTATTTTTAAGTGTTAATGTTTTTTGCATGTCCTATTTCTTTTGCTAAAAATACAAATACAACTTATATCTTAACTTGCAACTTAAATACTTATCAAAGTGTAGAACCGCAAAAATGCTGGAAGCAACTGAAATGGACTTTTAGAGGAAGGCGACAGGCAAGTTAAAAATGGAAAGGATAACAAATCTGAGAATAAGAAAAATTATGGGCAAGGAGAGTCCTTTAAAATAACTACAGGCGTTAAACAGGTCTGTGTTATTGCATTCGCTTTATTTTCTCTATTTATAGGACCATACTTCACCTTGTCGAGAATCACCCGCCGTCAGAAGTGGAAATCCTGTACAGACTTGACGGCGACTTACTCAACCTTAACAGATTACGAGCCGAGATGAGAAAGTATCGACGGAGTCGATAATTGAACTTCAATATGCGGATGATAACGTCGTGATGGCCAATATAGAGGAAGATCTGCAGGCAATTATCAATGCATTCAACCAAGCACACAGGAGATTCAAAGGTCAACTTTAACAAGACGCAGATTCTGCACCAACCCGCATCGGATACTAATCTCCAAGCCCCAAATATAACTATAAATTACCATTCTTTGCAGAACGTGGAATACACTACCCATACCTTGGGAGCCATCTGTCAGCGAATGCAACCATTGATGATGAAATCCAACATCGCTTGAACTCTGCTAGCGCGGCGTTTGGGCTACATCTATATCAGCGCTGAGACCAAATTTTGCGTCAACAATGCAGTCATAATAACATTACTTACATATGGCTGCGAAACATGGACCGCCTACAAAACACATAAAAAGCCCAGAAAAATACCACCAGCGATGCCTAAGAAGGATCCTAGGATTAAATGGCAAGACCGACGAACGAACATTGGTGTTTTAGAGGAGGCCGAAACAACCATCATGGAAGCTCTCATCATTAAGCACCAACTTCGCTAGACAGGTCACCTCGTCCGCATGGCCGAAACACGTCTTCCACGACAGATTCACTACAGTCAGCTGAAAGAGGTAAAACGAATTCAAGGTCAACAAAAACGCTACAAAGATGTTTTAATGGAAAATATGGCAAAGTTCCGCATCGCTACCAGCAACTAGGAGTTGACGGCAAATGATAGGCCCTCATAGCTTCGAGTAGTCCATGACGGATCACAAACTTTTGAAAAACAGCGACGTAGATACGAGACCAAAACGAGGGACCGCAGGAAGGAGCGAAAGAACAGAGGAAGAGACAATGTGCCAAGACTGTGAAAGAGTGTGCGGCTCCATAATTGGGTTATATAGCCATCAGCACAATCGACGAGGAATAGAAAAGGATAGAAGATAATTATACTCCGTATCAAGTGATTGCCTATGATGATGAAGCAAAATTTTTAGTTCAAGTGATAGTTCTTACCTTTGGAGGTGACCTGTAATATTATGGTACTATTGTAGTATGTAGTATTTGTTTTGTGGTCAACCATATCCTATCCATAGCCAACTAGGGTAAATTTAATTTCTTTTACAATTTTTATTGCACCTGAAATTCCGAAATTGAGATGTAGGTTTTGAAGAATACTTATCATTTCAATTATAGTTTTTATAGCCTCTTCAGGTGGCTTGTAGTATTTAGAAGTACTTAGTTAAAACACAAACATTTCAAAATTTGAAATAGACAAATTTGCAATGTTCAAAATAGCCCAGAGGCGTCTGGAAATTTTAATTTTTCTTCTTCTTTAAGTGCCTTGTCCTCTTCTAAGGTTGGCAATCATTAGCGCTATCTGTACTTTGTCGACCGCTTTTCTAAAGAGACTTGTCGTAGTCTCACCATACCATTGTCGCAAATTTCTTAGCCACGATATTCTTCGACGCCCGGGTCCTCTTCTGCTTTCGATCTTTCCTTCTATTATCAGTTAGAGAAGTCTGTATTTTTCGTTCCTGAGGATGCGCCCAAAGTATTCCAACTTTCCTTTTTTAAGTGTGAGCATGACTTCGAGATCTTTTGACATTCCCGAAAACACATCCACATTGAGCACTCTGTCCATCCAGGATCCAGGATATTCTCAGCATCCGTCGATACGCCCACATTTCGAAAGCTTCCAGCTTTTTACACATGGCGACTGTTAGAGTGCACGCCTCAATTCCCTAATAGAGGATTCTGAAGACATAACAACGTAGCACTCGAGTGCGAACGAGAAGCGACAGACTTCGGCAAGACAACACGGGCTTAATTTTTACAAATGATGCTCTGGCTTGCTCAATTCGGGCACGCACCTCCTGCATATTATTCCAGTTTTCGTTGACTTGGCATCCAAGATATTTTTATGACTGAACGCGTTCGATTTGTTGGTTTTGTATCTGTAGAATACCTCCTCCAACTTGACTCCTAATAATGACCATCCATTTGGTTT